AACAAGTAACAGTCAAGAATTTCCTAGATAGGTTTTTTGATTGGTTACTAGCCTCATCTATAGCCCTCCTCCTCTTTTTCTTTGGCCTTCCAACCTACAAAAATATTAAGGAAATGTTAAAACTGGATGAATAATAAACTATGTTAACTAACATTCAACTTACTTGTGTGTGATGTGTAGGTGGTATAAGAGTGGTTGGACATCTAGATTTTAGCCACATGCTCCTGCCATTGATTGGATCTATTTTGTTACAGTACATTGCCCTCCATGTTTCTAGCTTATAATAAGGATGCACCCAATATTCAGGTTGTTGGGCTTTTTCACCATTTTGAATATGTTCCCATATTGCACAAACTCCATGCCTACAGACTATCCCTGTTATCTCCCAATACCTACAACTACATGTACCCTCTTTCAAGTTGACCACATACTGATCAAACATCATACCAGTCACTTGATATTTTCCAGAACCACAAAAGAGTGCCCTATATTTGTTTGCAGCTGTTTTGATTGTGTCAAGTATGGTAGTTGCAGTGGGGGTTAATAGACTTTTGCATTTATCAATTTCTTTTTGTACAATGCAATGTCTCTTCATCAAGTACACTCTTATGTACTCCAAACATGTAATTATAGGCTTGTCCCTTCCATGCTCTAGCTTAGAGTTGAATACTTCACACAAATTGTTTAAAAAGACAATCTGAATGGGCTCTACCTGAGAAATGAGACCTAGCCCAATGAACTGGAGGAATCTTACTTAGCCATTCATGAGCCTCTGCACTGAAATCTTTGAACTCATCCATTGACCTTTCAAAGTGCCTAATGGTTGTATGTGTAGCACACCTCCATAAGTGATCTCTAAACTCTTCTCCCCTCCATTGCAACTTCATGTTTTCATGTATATGTGTCAAACACCATCTATGCTCTGCATTTGGAAACACTTTTGCTATTGCAGGTATTATGCCCTACATATAATGTAAATTATAGTTAGTATTGTTACAAGCTTTAAAAGATACTTATGTTATATGTATTATACCTTTTGTCTGTCAGATACAAAAGTGAAGTTGCATGATGCATCCAAATCCAAATCATCACCAAGGCATTCTAAGAACCATGTCCATGAACTTGTTGTCTCAGCTTCCACAACTGCATATGCTAGTGGATATATTCCATTGTTGGAATCAAGACCTAAAGCTGTTAGAATTTGTCCAGGGTGTGGTCCTTTTAAGAAACATCCATCCAATCCTAATAATTCCCTTTTTCCATATTTGAACCCCAACTTAAGTGCTCCAAGACAAATGTATATCCTCTTGAAAATACGAGTTTGAACATCAGGATTTGGTTCATTACACACTTCTAGCTTCACTGTTGTACCTGGGTTATTGGTTTGTAACTCCAAACAGTAATCTCTCAGCAAATTATATTTGTCACACCCCAAAACCAAGAACGGCGAAAACGTTCTGGGGCGGAGGACGTCATGTAAGTATCACAACACAGTAAATGTAAATAAGCAAACAACATCATCCATTGCATTAAATATATAATTTTAATACAAGTGTGTTCTGTACATTATAGACACCAAAAATAACGTATATCAAAATAATAAGATGAGTCTTGAATGCGCTCCATCTTCTCAAAAGCTGGCCTCGGTACCTGTCTACCGATGACCTGAGAATACAAGTTATTTTGAAAGAGTTTATTAGCATTAAGCTGGTGAGTTCATAAGTATTTTTGTGTCGGTATTTGTCATCCAAATGTTTGAATATGTATAAAGTATAAGTTTGTAAAATGTACGTAAAGATTTGCAATTATTTGTAAAAGTTTGAATCTCTCAGAAAAACCTATATTTTCTATTAAAGTAGCCTTCTACCAAGGCTTAACTGTTTTGTATGCTCATTTGATGTAAAAGTGTGTAATTTCCCAAATGTAACTATCATTTAACAAAATATAGTTTGTACATAAATTTTTTAAGTGAGGTTATCACTAAAAATATGTAATGGGTAAATTATTGTAGTACTGTAGCCTTGTATTATAAGAACTACTACTATACTAACTACCTTAAACCGGATTTATATTAAGGCATTACGTGATAAATTGCACCATACTATCGACTAGTAACAACGACAAATGAATGGTCGTAATAACGGAATGACGTTTGGCACCCGCAGACCTGCAGGTCCGGCTGTAGCTAGCAGCAAGGTATAGGATTGTCAATCCAGTATAGATCTATACGCAAACTCACACTCTCCCTTCAAGAGAATTCTGGCTACAACTCGAGCCATGACAGTTAAGTCATGCTCCGATTTAAATCACAATAATAAAGTATTCATGTATATGTACTGTTTCTCGTTCTAGTATATGTATATGTATTGTTTCTAGCATCATTGTACATGTATTGTTTCTAGTATATGTATATGTATTGTTTCTAGCATCATTGTATAAGTATTTTTTCTAGTATATGTATATGTATTGTTTCTAGCATCATTGTATATGTAGTGTTTCTAGTATATGTATATGTATTGTTTCTAGCATCATTGTACATGTATTGTTTCTAGTATATGTATTGTTTCTAGTATATGTATATGTATACGTATTGTGTTACCCCGATGGTAACTAACTGTTGATGTACTGATAAATATGAATATGGAAGTACTTTTATGTCTATACATGTATATATGATATATAACTAATGTTGAAACGACCTTCGGATGGTCACCCGAAATCCCACCAGACCACATCTCAGTGCGCGAAAAGGAAATAGGGCGGATGGCCTTCCTAAGCCCTTTAAACATTACTTATATATATATATACATATATGGGCATGCAATTTATAAGAAGTAAAACAAAGTTTAATAAAAGCATTTGATAAGTAAAAAGAGTTTGTAAAACATTTGAAGTGAAACAGTTTGATAAACAGTTTGAACATTGGTAAAAAAAATCGTTGTTTTCCTAGTTATTAATCACATGTGATTAAATGCAATCACATGTGATTGAAGCAATAACTATAAGTATTTGACTTGTATTCCCCCCCCCCATAAAGTATTTAAAACATTTAAAATCATTTCAAAGGTTGATTCAAGGGGTATGAACTCACTTGTGGTGAGTCGTTTGAATTGCAGTGTCGGATACCGTGTTAAGTGTCAAACGGAGACTTGTTCACACGTTCGAGCCTAGTTATCATATAATAAGCATATATATAACCAATTAGCCACATAATAACTTAAATAAATAAGTTAAGACACTTAGGAAACATGTAAACACTTTTATGAGTGTTTAAGGTTCAAATGGTTGCATCTAAGTTGCTACGGGACAAGGCAAAAGGGTTTGAAACATCAAATGGCCTTGCATAGGAGTTCACCACCCAACAAACCCCACACCTTGGAGTTTACGGCCGTAAACTCATGGGTTTATGGCCGTGAACTCCTCAAAGGGTGGTCTTGGGTGTTTTATGGTGCTATCTTGATCCTAGAACACTCCTAGCTTTGTTGGAATAACACATGAAGTAGTTTAAGGCTCTAGAATACCCCATAGTGGAGTTTTCGGCCTAAAGTCCATTCACCCTAGAGTTTACAGCCGTAAACTCCTATGGGGTGATGGCTTTTAATTGTTTTGAGGCTCTTACACATCAAGGATGGCTTCCATGAATTTATCTAAGGCTAATGGGGACAAGAGGCACACTTTTGTGCCTTCACTTGGAGTTTACGGCCCAAGATATGTTCCTTGGCCGTAAAATCCTTTCAAGGAGTGATTTTTATGTGTTCTACTCTCCATTCTAGTCCCAAGTACTCAAGGTAAATTGTCTTAAGGCCTAAGGTGTGCTTGGAATGATTTTTACCCTTAGAAAAGGGGTTTACGGCCCAAGATCCTTCCTTGGCCATAAACTCCTATAATTCTATCATTTTGAAGTGTTTTGAAGTCCAAACTAAGCACAAGTATTAGTGGTTAAAGTCCTTAGGCTCAAGGAGGCAAGTTAGGGCATGTTTGACCCTTAAAAAGGGGTTTACGGCCCAAGAAAGTTCCTTGGCCGTAAACTCCTCTAACTTGTTGGTTTTGGATGCTTTCTAGTCTATAAAGATCATACACAAGGTCCTTTACACGTTGTCTAACACGGAATCGGGACTAGGAAGCCTTAAAGTTCCATTTTGGAGTTTACTCCCCAAGAACGTTCTTGGGCGGTAAACTCACGGATCTTGTATTTTGGACATGTAATTGATGTTATAAAGCATATAACAAGTATTAAAACACGTTTAGGAAAGTAGACTCACAATCTGGGATGAAAACCCGAAGATCCGTCAGAGAGAATTGGATTTTCTCTAGTTGGAATTGTGAATAATGAATTAATTAAATTCAGAAATCTATTTATAGTCCTGGAATATTTTGACAGAAAATATTTTTATTTCAGAAGTCGGACTATAACATTATGAAACTTAAAATGTTCAAGTTTCACAATTTCAGGAGCATCCACTCTCCTGATACGTCCAGAAACATAAACCCTAATGTACACAAACTTGTTCGGACAAGTCTGAAATTTACAGAAATTGGACTAGCTTCTATTGAATAGATAATATTCGTACAATGGAAATTTCGGGTTGTCACAATATTGCCTTTCGTAGTCACCATATAGTTGTTCCTTTGCAATCGATTTAGCCCTGAACAGCTTCATTGTTGATATGCTTAATTCCAAATCCATTTGAAGCTCTTTTTGTAAGGCTGTTACTGGGATGCGAGGGTTGGAATCCACTTTTTGGAGAATAGTGCTTGCAAGATATCTAGATGTACATGCCTTCACATTTCTACTTTGTAAGCATAAATGCTCATCAATAACTATCTTCACCAACCATTGTTCCTCTTCCGTAGATCTAGATATCTGAATAGCAAAAGGACAAGAATCTTTTTGTGAAATTACAGTTTTACCCTTCGATGTGGCTTTACTTACAGTGGAGGGCCCACCATCAGTGGAATCTGGAACCACCCCTTTACACTTGACTCTTACTCTCAAATTTTCATTTTTTTGCCATGTATAGGGCCATCCTTGTTTTTATTGAAAGCATCTTCATGTGACCTTGTATATCTTTTTTGGTTTTAAAAGCTTGACCCACAAAAAATGGTGTAACATGAACTACCCCGGAAGAACAAGGCACCTTCTTGTTCAGGTTTTTTAACATTCTCTTCCTTAGGTCTTCCTCATATCCTACACTTTCAAACTCATCATTGTTGATCACACCTAAATCATCATCTTGATTTAAATCTAATTCTATGTTTGGACCTTGTCCAAACCATTCAACCTCATCCACACAACTGTGAAACTCTCTCATATCAACCTCCCAGTCATCTAAAATAGCTTCTGGGTCAACAATGTAGTCAGAATCATCATCTTCTTTTGTATGCTCTTCTGGATCATCTTTTGAATCCTCTGCATGCCCTTCTTCATCTTCTTCTTCTTCAGCTTCAACCTCTCTTTCAAACTCACCTATATTCTGATATCCATCACTACTAAAAGGCTCAAAATCATCTAGCATTTCCCTATGATTCTGGCAATTAATATCAACTGTAATTTCTTGCATTGTATCAGTTTCTTCTGGTACAGGGAAATACGAATCATCCTTAAACTCATTAACCATGTCTTGTTTGTTTGGCTCAAAAGGAACTAGGGACATGGAAAAATCATACACACCATCTTCTTTCTGAGCTTGATTAGCTGATTCTATAAATGGGACATTCATGTCTAATTTCTTGCTACACGAACCAATTCCCTTCTTCTTAGGCCTAATCCTATTAAGCTCAGGAGAAGGATCATCATCCAGTTGCTCAATAACAACTTTACTTGGGGACATGAAGTAAGTATGAAGTCTTGTAGAACCATGTTCAGCGTACACATTAATCACTCTGTTTTGAGGCACAAATTGAGTCATAGAAATAACGTCTTGATCATTTCCTAGAGCCTTCAATCCAAAATCTAAGTCTAGATTAGGAATTCTATAATGATAGTACATTGTGTCATCCGCAGAATACCCTATCTCACGAATCATGTCATTTAGATCATGAACTGAAAAAAGATCAGTGTCAACAAAGTCATAGAATGCCAACCTTCCCTCAACGTACTTTCTTCCTGGGAACTTTGAAAAAAATCCACCATGATGTATTTTTAAAGTGAAGAAATTGTCGTGACCATCTGAAAAAGAAAAATGATGAGCCTTGAATATATAAAACAAGAAACACCAAACAAAAGATGAAACAACTTACTGTAATCTTTATCAAGGTCGGGTGCAATCGTATGAGGACAACGTAAATTCCACATACAAAGTACCATTTTCAGTTGATAAAACCTAAAATCGGATGGGATGGATGAAGGATGAAGATCGTCAAGATGATCAATAGGCTAAGGTGAAGAGGAGAAGAATGGGGTTTCTTGGATCTACTTAATGAGGATAAGTTAATGATGTATCGTTGCCTAATCCATCTTAAATGAGCGCCAAATGTAAAAAGATGAATATACCCCCCAACTTAATGACCCCAAACGGCTGAAATTGACGGTGTTAAGAAAAAGGACCTCCAATGCAACTTTTACAAAGCACAATGGCCAAATACATCAAAAAAAAATAGATAAGGACTAAGTTTGTTACTTTTCACAAACCACAGGGACCATTTTTGTAATTTTGTCTAAATTCTAAAAACTATATAAGAATTAAGAAAAGACAAAACTGCACAAATGGTCCCTCTGGTTAGCTTAAAATTGTCACTTTGGTCCAAAAAGGTATGCATTAGCACCAAATGTCCAATCTTTTCATTTTATTGTGAGATTGGTCCAATTTGCTTTGAACTTTTTTCAAATGACAAATTTGCCCAATCTTTTCATTTTATTGTGAGATTGGTCCATTTTATTGTGACATTGTCTCTCTCTCTCCCCCCCCCCCCCTCTCTCTCTCTTCATTACAACCGGACCAGCACCTCCTGCCGACCACCATCGTCGGACCACCACCACTTGACAGACCATCATCTACCAAACCACCGCTGCTTGTCATCCTATCATAGTCACCAAAAACTCTTTTCTTCGCCAAACCATCGAAAATCACTTCCGACGACGTAGATCAGAATACCTGACAGCATAGATCTGAACCACTGCCCACTACGGTCTTTTCCTAGAATGCCATCGTCTTCGGAAAAGTCTGGATCTTCGGCAAAAACTTACCAAATATTAAAACCCCTTTCACCAGTCTCTTCCTGGAATATCACCGCCGTCAGAAAACCATACCATGTCACAACTAGCATTTTTAGCTAGGAAATTTTGTTTTCATGTAAACATCAAGGATAAAGCGAATGAGTGTGTGAGTTGAACTTGTCACCTGTCGAATGAGCCATAACCCTCAAAAGAGGAGTTTACGGCCTACACCATGGAGTTTACAACCATAAACTCAAGGTGGCCGTAAGCTCCATGCCTATATATGAACAACTTGGCCATTTTCATTCATTTTCACACTTTCATGCCTAGAACTCGGGTTTTCTCTCAAGTATCATCAAGAACTTTCCTACCAATATTCCATTCATCTAAGTAAATCCCTTCATCTAAGTGTTATACCTCACTTCTTCTTGATGCACTCATGATTTCATCCATGAAATCCTTTCATTTCTATATATCTTCAAGTGTTCCTCATTTCACCAAGAACACACACTGGTGTTCTTGGATCTTAAACACTCTTACAAGCTTCCTATATGTATGTACACTCCTCCTAACTGGTTATATGCTTAGATTACTTGTTAGATCATTGAAAAACTCCAAGAATGCCCAAGAACACATGGGTTTACAGCCGAGGCAATCTCATTGGGACGTAAACACCATTAGGTGTTGCTCATGTGCTTCCATTACCTCCTAAGGCTTGGATATCGGATTAGGACCCTTCATACTTAAGCTATAGAACTTAAACTAGGAAATGGTAGGAGTCACCATGGGTTTACGGCCGTAAACCCACTAGGGTCGTAAACCCTAGGCCGTAAACTCCATGGTGAGTGGTCCTTGGGCCATAAACTCAATGGTACACCCCTACAACCCTTATCTGCAACCCTTTAGTACTCATAACACTTGAATCAAAGTGTTTTCCATGATCTAGGGTGTTTATACTTGTCTAATTAGTGTTATAATCACTAAATATACACATATATGTCTTTATGTGTTAATAGGATCAGTGTGTGTGTTCAAGTCTTCACTTGACACCTAGCACCTTGTCCAACACTTCCATCCAATCCACTCACTACAGGTGAGTTCATACCCCTTAATTAACCTTTTGAATGTTTTTAAATGCTTTTATGGGGGGAATACTGTCACACCCCAAAACCAAGAACGGCGGAAACGTTCTGGGGCGGAGGACGTCATGTATAGTATCACAACACAGTATAACAGTAAACAAGAAAACAACATCATCCATTTTATTAAATATATAATTTTAATACAAGCGTGTTCCGTACAGTTATAGACACCAAAAATGTAAATCAAAATAATAAGATGAGTCTTGAATGCGCTCCATCTTCTCAAAAGTTGGCCTTGGTACCTGTCTACTGATGACCTGAGAATACAAGTTATTTTAAAAGAGTTTATCAGCATTAAGCTGGTGAGTTCATAAGTATTTTAGTGTCGGTGGTTGTATCAAAATGTTTGAACGTAGTTATAAGTATGAGTTTGTAAACGTTTGTAAGTGTTTGTAAATGTTTGAATCTCCTAGAAAAACCTATATTTTCTATTAAAAGTAGCCTTCTACCAAGGCCTAACTGTTTTGTATGTTCGTTTACTGTAAAAGTGTGTAATTTTCCCAAGTATAACTATCATTCTCAAAATATAGTTTGTACATTAATGTTTAAGTGAAAAGATCACTAAATATGTAAAGGGTAAATTAATGTAGTACTGTAGTGTTGTATTATAGGAACTACTGCTGTACTAACTACCTTAAACCGGATTTATATTAACGTATCATGTGATTAATTGTACCATATTATCGACTGGATAAACAACGACAAATGTAGGTCGTAAAATGAAATGACGTTTGGCACCCGCAGACCTGCAGGTCCGGCTGTAGCTAGCAGCAAGGTATAGGATAGTCAATCCAGTATAGATCTATATGCAAACTCACACTCTCCCTTCAAGAGACTCTGGCTACAACACGGGCCATGACATCTAAGTCATGCTCCGATTTAGATCACAATGGTTAATGTATTCATGTATATGTAATGTAATGTTACTCGTACTAGTATCGTTGTATATGTTCTCTTTCTAGTATCGTTGTATATGTTCTCCTTCTAGTATAGTTGTATATGTTCTCTTTCTAGTATAGTTGTATATGTTCTCTTTCTAGTATAGTTGTATATGTTCTCTTTCTAGTATAGTTGTATATGTTCTTATAGTAATAAGTATTGACTCATGAATGAACTCACTCATTGATCTAACAATAGTATAAGTATGATCCTGCGTTACCCCGATGGTAACTTACAAATGATGTAACTAGTATGCATGAACATGGAAGAACTTTTATGACTATATATGTACACATGATATATAATTAATATTGAAACGACCTTCGGACGGCTACCCGATATCCCACTAGACCACATCCAAATCGAGGAAAAGGAAATAGGGCGTGTGGCCTTCCTAAGCCTTTTAAACATTGCTTATATAACTATACATATACGGGCATGCAAATTATAATAAGTATAACAAAGTTTAAGTAAAAGTATTTTATAAGTAAAATAGTTTGTAAAACAGTTTGAAGTAAAACAACTTTGATAAACAGTTTGAATAGTAGTAAAATCATTGGTTTTGTAGTTATTAATCACATGCGATTGATGTAATAACTGTAAGTATTCAACTTGTATTCCCCCCCCCCATAAAAGCATTTAAAACATTCAAAAGTATTTCAAAGGTTAATTAAAGGGGTATGAACTCACTTGTGGTGAGTGGATTGGATTGAAGTGTCGGGTACGGTGCTAGGTGACAAATGAAGACTTCTACACACGCACGAGCCTAGTTATCATATAATGAACATATGTATAACTAATTAGCCAATTTATAACTAATAAATTAAGTTGGGACACCCTAGAACATGAAAACACTTTGTTTCAAGTGTTAAAGATCACAAGGATTGCATCCGAGTGTTGGTAGGGCATAACTAGTGTGTTTGGAGTCCATGGGTAAACTCCCTTGGATTTTACGGTTTTGATGGTAAAGACCTAGGGAGTTTATGGCAGTAAACTCTAGAGTTTACAGTCGTAATCTCTATTCTTAATGTTCAAGTGTTTTTTTGCGGTTTAGCAAGCCTTTTAAAGCAATTCTACTAAGTAGTTTGGCCTTTGGAATGGACTAGGGCAACAAAACACCTCCTTTGAGGAGTTTACGGCCTCATGGCATTTTACTTTGGGTTTAAAACCGAGTAGTGTATAGCCATGTTTTGAGGTCCCTAACACAATTAAGTAAGTGTATGTGCTAGTTTCTAAGCCTAAGGAAGGAAATTAACCCATTTAGACACACTTTAGGGTGTTTACGATTTTGGGAGATCCCCAAACTGTAAACACCTATAAATGTTGGATTTTAGTGTTTTTCAAGGCCTAGATACATCAAAGGAAGGTTTAATCAATTCATGGAAGGCTTAAACATCAAACTAGGGCTAAACAAGGGACTTAGGCACACTTTGGTGCCATTTATGGTGTTTACGACCCAAGAACATTCTTGGACCATGAAAACCTCTAATCTTGTGTTCTTGACATTATTTCTTGATATTCAAATGTAATACTAGATTAAAATCACTCAAGGATGAAAGCACTTACTATTAGAAGGCTTGATTTGAGCTAAAAGGGTCAAGAACACTTAGTGTGTGTTCTTGGTGTTTTGGAAATCTAATCAAAATACAAATATGAATGGATGAATAGATGTACAAACACTAGATTAAGTGTTTTAATAACTTGAAATGGTTAGAACACTTACAACTTTGAAGATTTGGAATTAAATATAGGATGATCTTAAGAGAGTTTTTGGAGTTTACTCTTTTGACATTTGGGGAGTAAACACAAATGACTAGCTTTTTGGTGAGTAAACTCATACATAGGTATGAGTTCACAGTTTTTGGGTGAATTTTCAACCCAAACATAAAAGTTTGATCGGGTGATTCTAATACGCGAAGTGTTTGCAGTTTTGAAAATTTAAAACCCGAGACGACATTTTCTTTCACCCGTTCGTTTAAAATTAATATTAAAATAATCAAACGAACTTTATATTTCTTAAAAATAAGAAATAATTACATTAACTTATGATACGAAGTGGTTGACTTTTAGGGTTTGACTGAATGGAAATTTTGGGCTGTCACATCGTCCCCTTGTTAAGTGAATTTTGTCCCGAAATTAAAGTCTAAACAAATAAGGTAGTTACAAATAACTAAGCAAAGTGATAAGGGTATTTCAGTTTCATCTGATCCTCAGCCTCCCAAGTGAATTTTGGTCCTCGCTTGGCGTTCCAGCGAACCTTCACAATCGGGATACGGCTTTGCTTTGTCTGCTTGACTTCTCGGTCCATGATCTCTACTGGTTCTTCCATGATGTTGAGGCTCTCGTTGATCTCGATCTCGTCGATTGGGATTACAAGAGTCTCACGGGACAGACACTTTTTCAAGTTAGATACGTGGAATGTAGAATGTACGTTACTAAGTTCGTCGGGTAGATTGAGTTTTTATGCTACAGGGCCTATTCTTGCGAGAATCTCGAAGGGCCCTATGTATCTTGGATTAAGCTTTCCACGCTTACCGAAGCATATCAAGCCCTTCCAAGGTGAGACTTTTAGAAGGACTCGGTCTCCCACCTGGAATTCCAAAGGTTTCCTTCACTTATCAGCGTAACTCTTCTGTCGGTCTCTAGAGGCTTTCAATCGTTCACAGATCTGAACAATTTTCTCTGTCGTTTCCCGAATGATTTCCAGGCCGGTGAGAGTACTGTCAGAAACTTGCCCCTAGCTAATTGGGTATCCCCCGCTTCAGCCCAGCACAGAGGGGATCTGCACTTTCGGCCATATAGGGCTTCGTATGGAGCAGCCTTGATGCTCGTGTGATAACTGTTATTGTAGGAAAACTCGACAAGGGGTAAATGAGTATCCCATGCCTTTCCAAAGTCAATCACACATGCTCTCAACATATCTTCCAGTGTTTGTATGGTCCTCTCACTTTGCCCGTCGGTCTGTGGATGGTAGGCCGTACTCATGTCCACCCTAGTTCCTAGGAAACTTTGTAACGACTGCCTGAACC